TGAAACAATATTATCGTTTATCGCAATAATTTTTTAGACAATTAATCGTCCAGCAAAATTTGTTATCGTGACAGGCCTAAATGTATGTGCATTTGATTTTCTCAGCTTGGTATTCCAGTGTGTTCACTCTTTAATATGACCATATTACCTTGAGCTGCCAGAACAATACTTTATTATGAGAAAGTACCAAGCTGGTTTATCTAGAAGTAAATGAAGTTGTTGATTTGAATTTTTATGTAAACAGTGGCTAACATTTCCAACTCAAAGTGCCATTTAATATTTTACATGTGTATGTTTCTGTTTTTTTTTTCTTGTATAGTTAAACTGTTTCTCTGTTTTATTAAATGTATTTGCCTAATTGTCCCAGTATGGATTATGTCCATTTTTCTTAATAGAAACAATGCTTTTTTTCCTGGAATGTGTTGTCTAATTTGGGGGTGGGCTGTCTTTGTGCTGCAAACCTGTAGAAGTGTAAACAGTTTGTGTCCATGATATGTGGGTTCTGCAGAGGTTTCAGTTACCCTTTTCCCAACCCTAGACCTGGTTTAAAACTGCAATATGTAACTTTTCTAATTGTTTTTAACATATTTATGTTATATCTTTATGTCGTGACAGATAACCTGTGAAAAATTTGAGCTCGTCTGCCTTCTACCTGAAACACTAGAAACAGCCAATCAGAACCCGGAGGTGGGTCTTAATGCTGTCAATCATCCTCTGTGTGGTGCTGCTCATCCCACCTCTCCCTCCCTCCCCTTATTCTCTGCTGTGCTGTAGCTAGTTAAGTCTGTCATGAATGCCAACGCTAGTTAACATGGCTGCTGATGATGGATAAACGGTTTTCCTGGAACGATACTTGTTTTTGGTAGGTGCATTTATTCAGCCAACTACAGACTAGGTGATCAATCTTTTCACAGGTTATGTCTAATACCAAACTGTCATGACATGGTGACGGTTTTAACAAATTTGTAGAAAATAAATTTTTTAATAAAGGTTCTGCAGCTTTTAGGGCCCTGTGGAGACTACATCTCAGCTCCTCTCGCTGTCCTCTGCAGGTCCCTCCTGACTGCTGAACTGCAGAATGTGAACATTGTGAGGAGAAGCTATAGAATCACTGTTCACTACTGACTATGAAGATGGATTTTTAGGAATAATAAAGCTGTTGGGAAGACATGAATGGGTCCAAACTGTCAGTCACATTTAGACAACTCTCCTCATGTGTTTCCTCCGCTGTTCTTAACGTTCAACAGGAACTCTGACTCGGTGGATCTGCCTGTGTTTGGAGGACAAAACACTAAAATGTGTTTCCATGTTATTTCTCAACACTGTTGAGTTCCCAACACAAAGAAAATCCTGGAACCAGACAGCAGGCAGGAGGATGATGCAAGTTTACGCTAACAGCAGAGCTGCCACTCACCAGCAGAGCAACATACACCAACAGAGTGACACACTCCTCTGGTAACGGTGTGAGTCATCAGAGGGAGGAGCCTAGCGCAGACCAGCTGCTTTAAAAAGGCTCAGCTTCTAACTTTGTCAGAACAGAAATAGAGTGGTGGAAGTGAGTGAGGGCGACTGGATCTGAGCTGCTGACCAGTGAACTGTCTGCCCGGTAAGAAACACTTCAACTCGATCCAGATTTCTACTGACTGTCAATTTATCTGCTGTGATCTGATAATCTCACACTTCATCAGAAAGTCGTGTCATATAATCACCAGCTGCTTGTTTTCTTAGCTGTTCTGGACCTCATAGTGACTTCTCTGATTCCTGTTATTTTGTAGAGATATGTTTATGACAGCTGGAAACATTGTGTAACATGTTGTATTGACAGACTGTCAGGGAGCATTCATAGATAGCATCTTGTGACGATGAACTTTGACTTCTCCACATCTTCCCTAATCTTACAAATTTAGGATTCACTTCAAAAATCTATTTTTTCCAATCATTGTAAACTCCTCAGTGGTTAGGTCAAATGAAGATTTCTCCATCGAATTAAACTGTGAAATGTTACCCTGTACAAGTTCAGAATGTAGATTTTTTTTTTTTTTTTTTAATTTTGCCTAAAGGATGTGGCTTATTTTTTTTAAACAGGACAAATTAGTAGCCATATATGACAACATAATGTGTCAATAATTAACAGTGAATTAACAGTGAATAAAGCACTAAATACCTTTATCTGAGCTCCATATCTGAAGTCAAAAGACATTAGAGCCTGAAGCAATAAATAGATTAAAAGGAATTTAACCACAAAGACGTGTGACTTTGTCTGAAACAAATATTGGCTTATCAGGTTTAAAGGAAGGGGTCTTTTTTAATAAGTCGGCACATCTTATAAAGAATGTAAAACTAAATATAGTGATATATATTTTTTATAGTGATAAATATGCCCTGTTTCAGACAGGGCATATTTTTTTCCCATCCACTGAGAAAAAATTATCCGTTTTTCTAGATAAATTATATATTTTTTCACTTTCCAGGCTTTCATGTTTCAATCAACATCAGCCATAGCAACCAGGACATTTAACATTTTAAATTTTGACATATATATATATATATATATATATATATATATATATATATATATATATATATATATATATATATATACTGTATGTGGCAACACTAAGGTAGGGATCTGATACTCTGCTCCTCACGGCAGGGTAACCAGAACTTGTCAACAACGTCACCTTGGGAATTGCACCCAAGGAAATAGACTGCCAGTAGGCTCGAGGTTCGTGACCAAGGAGAACAAGACTTTTCCAAAAAAATTTATTGCATTTTATTGTTTCATGCTAAAAAGAGACAATCAAAACATAAGGAACACAATAGGAAGGGAGTGTACAGTACTGAGGCCTACCAGCAGGGGGAGGGCGGTCCAAATGGGAACTAGTTCCTAACAAACGTATAAATCCAAAATAAATACCCAAACACTTGTTTGGCATTCAATCTTGACGATTGAATGCCTGTGTGTTGTGTGAGAAATCACTCGCACAACACACAGTTCCAGTCTCCCTGGAGGCCCCTCCCACTACTGTCAGCTCTCAGCCTGGAGACAAAAGGGTGGGGTTAAACAAGCAAATACAAAAAAAAACAAAACAAATACTACAATTTAAACTTGGCCAGAGACTAAAATGAGGTTACCTCCAGCATAACCAATTAAAAATATCAATACTTTAATAGAATAATCTAAAAGAACCCAAGGCTGCTACCTGCAGCAAGGCTGGAGGCCACACAAAACATGTTCCAAAGTAACAAATTTAAACCAAAGAAAACCCCAAACTAAGAAACTAAACAAGACAAAACAAATTAAACAAAGCAGTTACAAAAATGAAACAAAGTCAACCAATGAAACAAGATAAACTAAACAAAAAAATGAAACCAAACAGTGAAACAAAACAGCAAGGTCTCCAGTGAACTGCTACAGTGTCAGAGCAGAGCTGGATGACTTCACCCCAAACCAGAGGATCCTTTCCAGCCCACAGCAGGAGGATCAGCTTTCCAATATGTTCTATGTATAAATAATTGTTATTTTTGGTGTTATGGAGCTGTATGGGTGCTATAAAACAATACATACCCGTTTTATGTGAAAACTGCAGTGGGGAGGGTGAATTACAGCCACACCCCAGTACCAAGCAGGAGACTTCCAGTGGTTTCTAGATTTAAACAATTCAAGTCAAACTCTGAATTTGTAGGCCTTATGTAGAAGGAGAAACATTACTTACTGATGTTAGAGTGTAAGACCTGCACGCTACCCAAGCAACCTTCCCAGCGATGCGTGAGCAAATGCTAGCATAAGCAACCAGGTGAGAGAGTCTCCCTATATACTCTCCACCCATCATGAGGTGATTAGGGGCCAGGTGTTTTGAATATTGAGGCAGGCTTCTTCCTGCTACATACATACATATATGTGTATATATTTTTAAAAAATCCCTTCTCCCCCTCTGCGGGTGGTCTCTTTCATCCTCTGAGCTCGGGTCCTCTACCAGAGGCCTGGGAGCTTTCATCCTCTGAGCTCGGGTCCTCTACCAGAGGCCTGGGAGCTTGAGGGTTCTGCGCAGTATCTTGGCTGTGCCTAGAACTGCACATTTCTGGACTGAGATGTCTGATGTTGTTCCTGGGATCTGTTTTAGCCACTGCTCCAGTTTGGGGGTGACTGCCCCGAGGGCCCCGATGACCACATCGGCCTGTTCCTGTGCAGCCAGGATGAGGGCCTCTGTG